AACGTACAGCTTTGGGGATCTCGACACGGGTACGCATGAGCTATGTTTTATGGAACTAACCTCTCATGGCGTAGAGTGCCACCCCGTCCAGTGCCTTGGGGGCACCGAGCCCCGCGCAAGTACGTCGTACCGTCAACGTTGCCCTGTGCTGACTCTCGAGGCGTAGATGCCAAGAATGCCACCGATTGCTTGCCTTGCAAGCTCGGGTGGTTCTCGCCCGGAGGTCCGTCCCAACGCGAACGAGCATGACACTCAGTCCATGTAGGCGACGTCATGTGCGCGCCAGCGGCTTGCCCAGGCGGAACAATCGCGAAGCACGGCGCCACCACGGCCTCCGAACACTGCGTAGCCTGTCCTCCTGGGTGCGTGTGATCGATTGATCAATGTACTGAGGCTGTACTAGGCATGTGTCTCCAGGTAAAGACGCAGCCAAGTGCACACCGTGTCGCGCAGGCACGTATGCCAAGAGTGAAACCTGTGCCCTCGCCGAGTGTCCTCCTGGGAGCTACGCCCCCGACTTGGCCAAGGATGTAGCCCGTACGGATCGGCTTTTCCACACGCGACGGCGTCACACAATGTGTAGATTGCTTGGACTGCGCGTTTGGCACGTTCTCGAACGGGAAAACAGACGTCTGCCACCCGTTCACTTGCCCCGGCGGTACCCGCGTCGTCGATATATCAAGGCCAAAGTGACATTGTGCTGTAGGCAACGAACCGAACACCAAAGCGAGCTACGACGGCGACTGCGTTGGCTGCCGCCTCGGTATGGCACGGCGCGTTGCATGCCAACAACTATGATCGTGGCCTAGGATTCTTCTCAGCCTCCAACACGTCGATTTCGTGCGAGCCGGCCGAGTGCCCGAAGAGCACCCAAGCCTCGTGCGACTTGCGGCTGAGCACGACACGTGAATAACGCGCAACCGTAGGCCCAACGCAACCTCGGCGGACGACTGCAGTCCGTGCCCCGCATTGCAAACGTCCATCGGCGGCTCGGCGCTCTGCGGGGCGCCCAACTGCACCGCAGGGTCTGGTCCAACGCAGGATGGCCAGTCGTGTGAAGTGTGCGAGAGTGGCACGTTCAGTCCTGGCCATGGTACGAACAACCGATCGAATATAGTGTGCTCATATTGCGAAGGTGCGCCTTGCCGCAAGGTGAAGTGTGCCCCGGGTCACACGCCGGCCAAGGTAAGCGTCTCACGAAGACGGGCACGGCTCACCACGAACACGCAGGGCGCGACCGACATGGCGACCGACTGTGTTCCGTGTCCTGAAGGCACCACGAATTTGGGTACGAATGTCCCCGTTGGTGTCGAGCAACTCAGTGGAGCTAGGGGGGACCTCGACGGAGTGCACGCCGTGCCCGCAAGGAACGTACTCCAACGCTACAGCGGGTACATTGTGTCCGTCGTTTCCAGCAATTTCGACGGTCGGCGGCGTAGGAACAAACACGTGCACACCTACAGCGTGCGAGCTCGGATGGGAGGCCAAAGTACACTTTCGCATGTTTCAATCTACGCGTACGATGCGTGCTTTTAGACTGGCGCCAAGCACAAGCGCGACTGCGTCATCTGTGGCCAAGGCTTCTTCAGCAACACGCAAACTTGCCAGCCGACGCAGTGCCCACTGAACCAAGCTAGCGCCAAGGTAACTACTGTTGCTGCAGCAACGCCAAGGCCTCTGACCACGACGCCATCCTAGGGAGCCCACGACGCGATTGGCAACTGCACGGCTTGCCCGTTGGGTTCGTCGCGTACAAAACCACTTGCGTGCTCAACGAAGTCTTGTAGGATACTTGTCCGAGGGTGGGCAGAGTCCGTGCCGTCCGGCTGAGTGTGCCCCGGGGTATTCTCTGCCCCCCAACGCCACGCAGTGCCAAGCGTGCCAGCCAGGCACCTTTGGGAAAGGCCTTGCCATGCCGTGCGTGGCAATGACCTGTGCTCCGGGCACCGCGTCGAGCGCATTCGGGGTCTTCCGACGACCTGGATTCGTGCCTTCCGTGCGCCAATGGTACGCATCGTCTTGTCCCCGT